GGGAGAGTAACCCAACGGGTAGTTAAAGTGCTTCTGAGGACATTTTGCAGGGAATTGTTTCCTTTATTCAGTGAAGACACACTAGAACAGCCACATTTTCAGGCTCCTCCTAAAGACTGCCAATTCCATCAGCGTTGCCTCTGAAAAATCCTGCAAATCTCTTGGGAAGACAAGCGGACAAATGTCAGCATGCTGGAAGAAGCAAAGACCACCAGCATTGAAGCGATGGTCCTCCGCCATCAACTATGCTGGACCGGCTATGTTGTCCGGATGCCTGACCACTGTCTCCCAAAGCAGTTGCTCTACTCCGAACTCAAGAACGGAAAACGGAATGTTGGTGGACAGGAAAAGAGATTTAAAGACTGGCTCAAAGCCAACCTTAAAAACTCTGGCATAGACACTGAGAACTGGGAAGCCCTGGCCCTTGAGCACTCCAGTTGGAGGTCAGCTGTGACCAGCAGTGCTGCAGAATTTGAAGAGGCACGAATGGAGGGCGAAAGAGAGAAACGTGCCAAGAGGAAGGCGTGTCAAGCCAACCCCGACCGGGACCGCCTTCCACCTGGAAACCAATGCCCTCACCGCGGGATAATATGCAGATCAAGCATAGGGTTCCACAGTCACCTACGGACCCACCTCCAGTATACTGATCTTGGAAGACAATCCTTCTCGGACAACGAGGGATCACCTAAGTAAGTAAGTATCCACGTTTTAATGGGAAATGCCTGAAGCTACTGACGGGTAGTTTCTAGGGGTATATAGCTTCAAAGGAGCTTGGGAAAAGATATTTTAGAGCAGTGGTTCTCAACCTGTGGGTCCCCAGGTGTTTTGGCCTACAACTCCCAGAAATCTCAGCCAGTTTACCAGCTGTAAGGATTTCTGGGAGATGAAGGCCAAAACATCTGGAGACCCATAGGTCGAGAACCACTGTTTTAGAGTATTGAGGACTTTGGGAGTTGTAGTCCAAAAATAACTTTCCCAAACTCTGAGTATTCGGCATATAAAGACAAGGGAAGTGCTTCCTGGATAGTAATTTCTCTTGTTTTGGTACATCAAACAGGACAAAATTCAGCTTCTGAAAACAAAGCCATAAATTGTGGGCTATTGTTTTACTTTTGGCAGGCATCCTCCAATAATTTCATATGCATTACTAAAAAGTTTGGCATTACTGGCATGGCCCACCCAGTCTTGGAACATGCAAGCACTGTTTGGCAGCAGATTCCTAGCAGCATAGTCACAGCTGAGCAGATGGAGGAAGAGAAACATTCAGATTCAGAGGAGTCAAGTCAGGCCCCTTCCACACAGCTGTATAAAACTCATATTGAACTGGATTATCTGGCAGTGTGGACTCAGATATTCCAGTTCAAAGCAGATATTGTGGATTATTCTGAGTTACATGGCTGTATGGAAGGGCTCTCAGTCTGAAAGTGCCATATGGCATCAAGGGGTCATCGGCTACAGCAGTGTTTCTCAATCTGGGGGTCGGGACCCCTGGGAGGGTCACAAGGGGGTGTCAGAGGGGTCACCAAAGGCCAACAGAAAACACAGTATTTTCTGTTGGTCATGGGGGTTCTCTGTGGGAAGTTTGGCCCAATTCTATTGTTGGTGGGATTCAGAATGCTCTTTGATTGTGAACTATAAATCCCAGCAGCTACAACTCCTAAATGTAATGTCTATTTTCCCCAAACTCCACTTCACATTTGGGCATATTGAGTATTCATGCCAAGTTTGGTCCAGTGAATGAAAATACATTCTGCATATCAGATATTTATATTAGGTTTCAAAACAAGTTTGGTCCAGATTCATCATTGTTTGAGTCTACAGTGCCCTCTGGATGTAGGTGAACTACAACTCCAAAACTCAAGGTCAATGCTGACCAAATTCTTCCAGTATTTTCTGTTGGTCATGGGAGTTCTGTGTGCCAAGTTTGGTTCAATTCCATGATTGGTGGAGTTCAGAATGCTCTTTGATTGTAGATTAACTATAAATCCCAGCAACTGCAACTCCCAAATGACAAAATCAATCCCTCCACAAACTCCAGTATTTAAATTTGGGTGTATCGGGTATTTGTGCAAGATTTGGTCCAGTGAATAAAAATACATTCAGCATTTCGGATATTTACACTACAATTCATAACAGTTACAAAATTACAGTTATGAAGTATCAACAAAAATATTTGCATGGTTGGGGGGGTCACCACAACACATGGAGCTATATTAAGGGGGTCGCGGCATTAGGAAGGTTGAGAACCACTGGGCTACAGTTTCTTTTCTGTCTTCTACACTTCAGTAGGATGGGAACCCCAAATTCCATCAGCTGCTGTCACCATCCATTAAACAACATGCTTAAATTCAGTAGCTCAGTGGGACATCTACCACTGACTTTGCAGATATTTCCTTTCCCAGAGGAGATGGAAGCCTTAAAAACAACAACACATGAATACATCCGAGCCAAGGTATGCTAAGAGGAAGTGGAAATGAGGAAAGCTTTCTAGGAAATAATTTATTCATTCAGGCAGTACTTCAGAGTACTGACAAAATTACAAGACAGCCTTAAATCACATTCAGTCAAGGCCAGAAAGAAAACGTAAACCCTGTGAGAACTAACTACAGATTCCTTCTCCATTCATAATGCAAGTGGTACTCTTTATCCGTAGCTATCTATAGCAAAGCTGGGGATCTCAACCTTCATTTCAAACCTAGAACCATGTTTTCAAACATTTCAAGCCTAGAACCATCTTTTTGGCCTCATAAATTAACTGATTTATGAGGCCATAAAGAAGACTCCAGCAAAGCATTCCAGCAGGGAAGCATGCGGGGAATGCGGAAGTGCTTTATCAGCGTCGCAGATGGACGATGAAAGCAATAGCTCCCCTGGTGGCCAAAAAAAAGTTAAATAGCCTCTGTGTATGTCTGTATATGTTTGTATGTCAAAAATTGGCATTGAATGTTTGGCATATATGTGTACACTGTAATCCGCCATGAGTCCCCTGCGGGGTGAATTGTGCTCGATAGCAGATTGGCAGTCAGTGAAGCTGATGCAACAGGGGGGTTGTATGCTCCCTTTGCGCTGCTCCGGTGAGCAATCTGGCTGCCGTCCTTTGGACCATTTGGAGCGTCCGAACAGTCTTCAAAGGCAACTCTACATAGAGAGTCATGCAGGAATCTAAGGGAGATGTAACCAGAGCATGGACCATCATGGCCAAGTCAGACTTCCCAAGGTATGGGCGCAACTGGCACACAAATTTTAATTGTGCAAAAGCTTCCCTGACCACCACTGAAACCTGGGGCTCCAGGCTCAGCGATGAGTCCAGGAGAACTCCCAGACTATGAACCTGCATCTTCAGGAGCAGTGCAATCCCATCCAACACAGGTTGTAACCCTATGCCCTGTTTGGCCTTGCAACTGCCCAGGAGGACCTCTGTCTTGTCTGGACTCAGTTTCTATTTGTTTGCCCTCATCCAGACCATCACAGTGGCCAAGCACCGGTTCACGACCTGAACAGCCTCCTTAATAGCAGGTGGAATGGAGTGACAGAGTTGGATGTCATCTGTGTACAGGTGACATTGCACCCCGAAACTCCGGATAATCTCTTCCAGCGGCTTCATGTAGATGTTAAACAACATGGGTGACAGTACTGAGCCCTGCGGGACCCCACAGGACAAAGGTTGCGGGGTCAAGCAGGTGTCACCCAACAACACCTTCTGGGAACAATCCTCAAGGAAGGACCGGAGCCACTGCAAAACAGTACCTCCAAGACCCATTCCTGTGAGGTACCCTGGTCAACGGTATCAAAGGCCAGTGAGAGGTCCAGTAGAACTAGCAGGGACACACTCCCCCTGTCCAGTTCCTTGAGTAGATAATCCACTAAGGTGACCAAGGCTGTTTGGGTACCGTGTCCCAGCCCAAAGCCAGACTGCACCAGATCTAGATAATCTGTGTCTTCCAAGAACCCCTGGAGTTGTGAGGCCACCACACGTTCCAGGACTTTGCCCAGAAAGGGGAGATTAGAAGTTGGCGAATTGAGTGGGGTCCAATGATGGTTTTTTCAACAGCTGTTTTATAACAGCTTGTTTTAAGGTGTTTGGAATATTGCCTTCCTGTAAGGAGGCATACACCATCACCTTCAGACACTCTGCCAAACCCCATCTGGCTTCCTTTATCTTCCATGTTGGACGAAGATGCATGTTGTAGCCCTCATTTCTACAAGGATCTTGTCCACATTCTTGGGCTGCACTAATTGGAAAAAATCCTAACCCTCACATGAATCCTAACCCTAACGTGACTAAGTTAACACTTAGACTGAGGCCCTATCCTATTACTGAAAGTAAAACAAACATGTTGTCAACAGTTAGGAAATGTGTAGAAGACAGAAAGGTGCCTCTGTGTCAAAAGTTCTTCCCATTTTAAAAAGTTAATGACTCATGCTTCAGGGTCACTGGCAGGAGGAACAATTAGACTAAGAGAACTATCATCTTCCTTCCCTGAACACAAAAACAGACAAAGCTAAATAGGATGCCCAGAGATCTTGCTTCTAAACCGAACATACAGACGCAAAATAAAACACATTGACTGGGAATCTGTTCAGTAGTTACAGGATTGCAAGATGAATCTATGCTCTCATAATTTTGGGATTGTTCATAACGTTGGCTTCTCTCCTACCTCATATTCCAGCAAACGAAGATTGTTCATAACGCTGGCCTCTCTCCTACCTCAAATTCCATGTTGTAGAGCTAGAAATGTTAATGACCACTGGGCCACAAGAAGAAAGGACTGTACACCCTTGGGTAATTATATTGTTAAAATTGCACATATTGTAATTATACATAAATGCCACAGAGTTTGTTAGCTACCTAGTTACAGTCTGCCCTCTCCAATTATGCCAAGTAATTCAGAATATTGACCAGCAGGCGCAACTGTGGCTGTTAAGTAAATAATATTATAATCCTCACACACACCTTTTGAACAAAAGAGCTAGTTAGTTACTATCTCAAAAAAATGTACCTGATGACAAAAGGCTTCCACTGCTGCCGCTGATAATTTTTCCTTTGCTTCCCATGTTGGCTAGTTTGGAGGTCTTCAATGTTCCAGTTTCAGTCAGGTCTATTGCAATTTCACTCAGGCTTCTTGCCGCATGAATTTTAGACTGGAGGAAAATGAAGAAATATGTACTATAATGATTATCAAAGAGGAAGCCGTGGTCTGGAATTATTTATATTATCACATCTTGTTACTCATTTGTGGCAATATTTTAAAGGGATGAAAAACAGCTCTGACAGGCAACAGAGCTGGTCTTACTACAGATTATTATGGTGTCTCTATTACAAGGTTGTAAGAGCTTGCTACCACCTGGAAATCTCTGCTAGAATGTTCTAGTGAATGATACCACTACAGTATCTGAACTAAATTTGAAGCCTTTGGTAGAGAATTCCAGCAAAGTACAAATCCTAGGATTTTGTAGGGTGGATCCATTGTAGGTAAACTATTACAAGCATATAGTAAAGTTATATCCAAACAGACTATTTGAAAAAGGTATTAAAGCACAGGTCAAGAACATTTAAAATCTCCCAGAAGAAATGTAAAAACAACAAATTATCCAAGAACATTTATGCAATTTTTTCTCCCAAATCTAACAGAATTAAGTAAAGGTGTCCTGTGATGTCAGGTAACAACACAGCAACTTGAAAAATATTGCATTATGTTGGTGAATGCTTCCACAATCTGCTGTGAAAACTTTCAATTATTTATTTGATGCTCATAATTCCCTATTGTTGATTTGTTGTGTCAGTAAAATGAGAAACAACTCATTTTCATCCCTGATGCATGGTTTTTATATATATTGAAGTGAGCATGTTTTTTAGAGACTTCACTAGGAATACAGGGAAAGTCATGCAGCCTAAATCACAACCACGGCTACCCAATAGCTTCTGCTGTTAACATGATCAGACAGTGGTGTAAAAGAACATAATCTGATATTTTGGTTTTAGTTACAAAAATTAAGGAAGGCAGATAGCTTTGATGGATTCTCTTATGTTACTTCCTCTGTCTTCTAGAGACTGCAAGTTACCTCTTAAAAACAGAACCATCTTGGAAAATGGTTCTCCAAAAGAAATGAAAGTGTAGATGTGGAGGTTTACTGAAAATCAAAGAGGCAAAATTTGCCTAGATTTCCTAAGAGGCTTTCTAAATAAGCTCAGCAACCTATCCAGCTGCATTTAGCCACTAAGTTCTAGAGCAGTGGTTCTCAACCTGTAGGTCCCCAGGTGTTTTCACCTACAACTCCCCGAAATCCCAGCCAGTTTACCAGTTGTTAGGATTTCTGGGAGTTGACGGCCAAAACATCTGGGGATCACTAATCTAGATGAACTGAAGTATAAAAAGAGGTAGCACCGAGCAGATTTGTCAGTGCTAAAACTGTTAAATGCCAGGAAGGTGCCATTCTAGAAATCTTCTTTCCTCACTGAGTTCAATGGCAATGGTATAGGAGTAGGGTTGACACTGAGAAATGAGAAGCCCTGGACTTTGAGCACTCCAGCTGGAGGCCAGCCGTGACCAGCAGTGCTGTAGAATTTGCAGAGGCACAAATGGAGGGCGAAAAAGAGAAACGTGCAAGAGGAAGGCGCATCAAGCCAACACTGATCGAGACCGCCTTCCACCTGGAAACCAATGCCCTCACTGCAGGAGAAGATGCAGGTCAAGAATAGGGCTCCACAGTCACCTACGGACCCACCAGTACACTGATCTTGGAAGACTATCCTACTTGGACGATAAGGGATCGCTTAAGTAAGTAAGTAGGAGAAGGGTGTCATCTATGCTCTACAAATTATAATATAGTGGCCCTTTGGTATCCATTGAGGTTTTGTTTCAAAACTTCCAAACTCTGTGGATGCTCAAGTCTCATTATATGCAATAATGCAGTAAAATGGTGTCCCAAGGGTAGGGGTGGGGGAAATATTTTCAAATCATCGATGGTTGAATCCAAAGATGCAGAATTTGTGGATATGGAGGACAGCTGTAATTGAGTAATAAAGCAATCGTAAGTGACAATGATAATAATTCAGGTTCAATATTGTCCTCAGGAGAATGCCAGTCTAGTTGTATCTAGAAAAAAAAAACACATTTCGGGCACTTTAGAGGGATCAGTTATTCTTTCTTTCTTTTTTTCTTGAATCAAGTTTCATAAAGAAGGTTGACCAGTATTTATACTTCTAGATCTCCACAATAATTTCTTAGGAGTCTTGGTAACCAGACTTTGCCTGAATCACAACAAAACAACACTGCCAGATAGAGGAAAGGAATTTCTTCTCTGTGCTGACTGAACCTTGTGGGATCAATGAGATCATTGGTGTTTTATTATCTCCTGAAAGACCTATTAGAAAATGGACACCACACAAATCCTGGTTTTATTGAGGTTACTTTCAGGTCACCCCTCCCCCAATTTTGTGGAAACATGATTGTGAAACCCTGCTCTAGACCTTGTCCTTTTTTCTCTAAAATGAAGCAAGGCATTTAAACCACACCCTAACAGGCCCGTAGCCAGAATTTCAATTCGGGGGGGGGGGGCTGAGTTTGTTTGGAGGGGGGTGAGTCTGAGTGAAAGAGGGTCTACCCTAGCAAACCTTTTGCATCGTTACCCCTCCATGCATATGGGATATATTGAGTACGGTGATCAGATCATGATATGAATAAACATAACAGTTTAAATAATGCACCAGTAAGGCCTTTTCGCGAACCACCATGAAAATTTCGGGGGGGGGGGGTGGCTGAAGCCCCTCAAGCCCCCCCCCCGGCTACATGCCTGCACCCTAAGTACCTAGGTTTATTTATTATAAAACAGAATAAAAAAGAATTATAATTACAGAATTATAAAACAGAATAAAAAATATAAAACAGAATAAAAAAATCATCTGAGAGATAATGTTTTAATTTATTTACTCTGAAATAAATATGTATTTTATAAACTATTCATGATCAGAAATGACTTTCAAAACAGAGTGTAAAGGAGCACAACAATCATTTCACAAGAAAACGCCCCTAGGTCCTGTAAATTTCCATGTGATGCCTGATACTAGGAACAAATTAGATGAAGACCAAAGGTAAAAGGTTTAGGTCAGGGGTCCTCAAACTACGGCCCAAGTGCCAGATACGGCCCTCCAAGGTCATTTACCCGGCCCTCGCTCAGGATCAACCTAAGTTTGAAATAACTTGAAAGCACACACCAACAGCAACAACAATCCTATCTTATCAGCCAAAAGAAGGCCCACACTTCCCACTGAAATACTATGCTTATATTTGTTAAAATTGTTCTTCATTTTAATTATTGTATTATTTTAAGTGTTTTTGCACTACGAATAAGGTATGTGCAATATGCATAGGAATTCATTCATGGTTTTTTTTTCAAATTATAATCTGGTCCTCCAACAGTTTGAGGGACTGTGACCTGGCCCTCTGTTTAAAAAGTTTGAGGACCCCTGGTTTAGGCTGTTTAGAAATCTCTAATACACATATCAAATAGAAAAGAACTGTTGGACATCTGTAACTAGAAAATCCTGAGAGTTGCAAAATGTCTTGTAACAAATAGCCTAGCTCACACGCTGAAAGTGACAAAAATGATTAAAGGCAAATATTACAATCACAACAAAAACAATCTCCACAAACAATCTCCATCACTATATGAACCCAAAGTATCCCCGCAAAAAGTAAAAAAGAAGATAGATCATAGAAACATTGTTCCAAATGACTAATACAAATCTATGAAAACCAACGACTCCTTTTCTTCTTCCACCTCAAGCTATCTGCCAATATACTCAATGTAAAAATGATCCATGCAAGTGTTATGGCAATGAGGCTGTCAGGGATAGCTGCTAGGCAGGCGCATTCATGGTAGTTCTCTTTTATTTCCATCTGCCTCTAGGATTCTCACCTTGCTTTGCTTTCTGTCCAAGTAGAACTGATGTTGGCTAATGGCCATAGCCCAGATGGACTTTATCAAGGCAGGACAGGCATACCACGTGTGCACAGCAATGCCACTGTGTCCAAACGTCCTTCTAGTCACAGATGCCCTAGAAGAGCCAGGAGAGAAGAAACAATTAGCTTTTAGTGTGATGAAAATTGAGCTCGTTCTCTCCACTATTTACTTTTTAATTTCACACAAAACATGGTAAGGGAAAAATAAGGAGCTCTAGTTGATCTATTTATGAATGATTAAGCTGCCAGTCACAAAATTGAACTGAGGCACTTCCAGGATCATAGCTCCAGCTAGTATATTGTAATCTATAAAAAGTTATTAAAGGCTAGTTTTTCAGCTGTGTTATATATTTTTTGCAACATAAAAAGGAGAGAAGGAGGTGAACAGAGGGAAAAAACGGGATTGTGGCGCAGCTGGCTGAGTGTCAGCTGCATTAAGATTACTCTGACCAAAAGGTAATGAGTTCGAAGCCAGCCCGGGTTGGAGTGGGTTTCCAACCAATTGTGTGTAGCCTGTTGTCGACCGTTGCAACCCGAAAGACAGTTGCATCTGTAAAGTAGGAAAATTAGGTACCACCTTAAAGTGTGGGGAGGCTAAATTAACTGATTTATGAGGCCATAAAGAAGACTCCAGCAAAGCATTCCAGCGAGGAAGCATGCGGGGAATGCGGAAGTGCTTCATCAGCGTCGCAGATGGACGATGAAAGCGACAGCTCCCCTGGTGGCCAGAAAAAAGTTAAATAGCCTCTGTGTATGTCTGTATATGTTTGTATGTCAAAAATTGGCATTGAATGTTTGCCATATATGTGTACACTGTAATCCGCCCTGAGTCCCCTGCGGGGTGAGAAGGGCGAAATATAAAAGCTGTAAATAAATAAATGAATGTGGCAGCACCTTTAAGATTAACTAATTTTTACTAGGGGTGTGTGAAATGGCAGAAATCCATTCTGTTTTCATTCTCTTTTTGTTTCGAATTTTGGATCCCCCAAGCACAGAGTTAGACCAAAGCATTTTATTGAAGTCAGAGCAGGAAATGTACCCACCAACCCTTCAAGTCAAGGTCCACAATTCCCAAGGCCAACTTTTGGCATGAGGAAGTAAACCATAAAACAATTTGCTGCCTTTTCATGACCCCAAACATCTGCTGCCTCGGATGACTGGCTCACTTGTGATGTTTACACTGGCCATGAGCAAATGTAGGACCTCACTGCACTCAGTGAGAAAGAGGACAGAAGATAAGTCTGGGAAGCTCTATGATGAGATGCAGAAAGTGATATGTAGAAAATACTGAAGCAAATCAAACAATGGATTTCAATGGCAGATATCTAGAAAAGGAGCTTTCAATTGTACGACAAAGCATATGTACAATTTATTCCAAACTAGCCATGACACGCGTCGCTGTGGCCCAGTCAGGTGATCTGGGAAATAAAGTAATGAGAAAGTGTTGATTTCTAATATATGTGATTTCTTTATGCTTGTGGGTAAACAGTATTTCTTGCTGTTTCTTTGTCAGTGTTGATGTGGTTTGCCTACTCTGGAACATGCAACATATAATTGTCGTTCTTTAGGAGGCCCTTTCAAATCTATGATACTATCTCTCTCTCTCTGTGAATCATATATATCTATCTATATCTATGGCTGGATGGCTCTCTGTCAGGAGGGCTTTGATTATGTTTCCTTGCCCCGGTGAAGGGAGTTGGACTGAATGGCCTCAGGTATTTTCTGTTGGTCATGGGGGTTCTGTGTGGGAAGTTTGGCCCAATTCTGTCATTGATGGGGTTCAGAATGCTCTTTGATTGTAGGTGAACTATAAATCCCAGTAACTACAACTCTCAAATGTCTATTTCCCCCAAACTCCATCTGAGTTCATATTTGGGCATATGGAATATTTGTGCCAAGTTTGGTCCAGATTCATCATTGTTTGAGTCCAAAGTGCTGGATGTAGGTGAACTACAACTCCCAAACTCAAGGCCAATGCCCACAAAACTCTACTAGTGTATTCTGTTGGTCATGGGAGTCCTGTGTGCCAAGTTTGGTTCAATGCCATAATTGGTGTTCAGAATGCTCTTTGATTGTAGGTGAACTATAAATCCCAGCAACTACAACTCCCAAATGACAAAATCGGGTTTTTTTTTTTAGTGAAGGACATACATTGGGTTGTTAGGTGTATGCTGTCCAAATTTGGTGTCAATTGGCCCACTGGTTTTTGAGTTCTGTTAATCCCACAAACGAACATTACATTGTTATTTATATAGATTACTTTGTTTACAACTGAGAAAAGTTCAAGGAATCAATGAGGGGAAAAAAGATGGTGAAATGAAACTTAAACCAAACCAGTCAAGACAATATGGAAGAGAGATTTCTTTTTTTTAAATCCAGCCATAAAAATTCAACCCAAGACTTGTGTTTCTATAGCAATATGACAACTGTTGCATTTTGGATACGATAGGTATTTTTCCAATCTCCCCATATACTAAGCGTGCCATACCAGTTATGATCCATTAAACAACTTGGAATTAAGACTTTCCTGAACCAAATGGTACATTAAAATGAAGAACATGTTCACTGTTTGAAAGAAAATCTGAAAGGTAAAGTAGAGGTTACAGGAAGGGTATATAAGGCAGGAAAGTTGAAGAACCGGACAGTGTGAAAAGAGAGATTCAGGAGCCAGACATATTGGCAAGAAAGTCTGAACAATACAGTATTTCTGTTCCTAACTGCCAAGGTACACTGTTCTCATATTAAACACAGCACTACAAACTCATTCTCTTCCTCACTGCACAAGATGGATGGCATACGAATATTTGCCGCAGCTATGTACGAAAAGCTATTAGACTTTGGCTGCACCCCCTAACTCTTAAAACTTATGAGACTCTCAATGCAAATTATGTGAAGGTAGCACTTTTTCTCTCTAGCATCAACAATATCAGTGCTCCAGTTATGTGCTGTCCACATGGGCGTGCAAAGGATCAAAAACTTTACATGTCAACAGTATGATCTGTCAACCTATGGGACTGTGACACAGCTGGCTGGGAATCAGCTGCATTAAGATCACTACTGACCGAAAGGTCATGAATTCGAAGCCAGCCTGGGTCGGAGTGAGCTTCCAACCAATTTGTGTAGCTTGTTGTTGACCTTTGCACCCGAAAGACACTTGCATCTGTCAAGTAGAAAATTTAGATACCACTTATGCGGGGAAGCTAATTTAACTAATTTACAAGGCCATAAAAATCTCTAGCAAGCATGCAAAGAATGAGGAAGTACTTCATCAGTGTCACAAATGGATGGTGAAGTGACAGCTGCCCCGGTGGCCAGAATACCCTCATGAAAAGCTGGAATGTTAAATGGCCTCTGTGTGTCTGTCTATATATGTGGTGTGTCTCTATGACATTGAATGTTTGCCATGTATATGTACATTGTAATCTGCCCTGAGTCCCCTGCGGGGTGAGAAGGGCGGAATATAAACACTGAAAATAAATAAATAAATATGTCAGACTACATAGAGAAGCCATTGAAATCCACAAGCATGTGGACAATTTCAACAGAAAGGAATAAACCAAGAAAATGAACAAAATCTGGCAACCAGTATAAAAAAACTCAAAAATTACAACAATTACAAAATTACAAGCTTCCCACCCAAGTGGAAATCATCTACTGGACAGATGGCAAGCTATTCAAAAGTCCTTTGTCCCACCCAGGTCATTCCACAGATATATAAACCCATTTTCCTAGTTCCAACAGACCTCACTACCTCTGAGGATGCTTGCCATAGATGCAGGCGAAACGTCGGGAGAAAATGCCTCTAGATCATGGACATATACCCCCAAAAAACCTACAACAACCTAAAGATAATAGTGTAAGTAGATGACAGTTCTATCCATCAAAAGCCTTGATAGCTAACTGGCATTTCCGATTTCAGAGGCAGCAAAATTTCTGTTTACCAAATCCTGAGATCAACAATAAGAAGCCATGTTTTGTTGCTTGTGAACTTGCTGTGACATTTGGCTGACTACAGAAATAAGAGGTTGGGACATACTAGACTTCTACTGGATTCCCAAGGACTCCAGAGAGACAATATCCCTTTCTTCCTGAAGCCTTCTGCCCCCTCCCTCTACCAAAAAAACAAACAAAAAACACTATTCCAGTGATGTGGGGAACTATCTGGATCCAGTTTTCATGCATCTCTGAAGGCTGGGGAAAGAAGAAAAGTATCCATGTTGTTGTTCCATGACACCCACATGTTAAATATGAAATCATGTTCTAGTGCTGAACTAGGCAGGTCTATGATACAGTAAAGCAATTCGGAATGAACTAATATGGGTGAATATCATGTATTTCTGCTACCTCTACTACCGACACTGCTTTCTGGGGATACCTTCATTGGCACCACCTGCTTCCCTCATTCCCTACTTTATAAATCGGGTGCCCTAACAAATTTGTGAACATCCTGCGGCTCCTCCATGATGACATGATGGCAACAGTTTTGGACAGCAATGGCTCCCAAAGTGACCCATTTAAAGTGGAATCTGGTGTCAAACAGGGATGTGTTATTGCCCCAACTTTATTCTCCAACTTCATCGCTATGATACTTCACCTTGTTGATGGGAAGCTTCACACCCGAGTGGAAATCATCTACTGGACTGATGGCAAGCTATTCAACCTCAGCAGACTGAAAGCCAAAACCAAGGTTACAACAAAATCTGTTATAGAACTCCAGTATGCTGATGACAACGTCGTCTGTGTACATTCAGAAGATCTACAAGCTACTCTAAGCACCTTCGCAGAAGCATACAAGAAGCTCGGCCTGTCACTGAACATCGAAAAAACCAAGGTGCTGTTCCAGCACACACCAGCCAACCTCTCTCCAATGCCAGCGATACAGCTTAATGGTGTAACATTAGAAAATGTTGACCGTTTCCGCTACTTTGGCAGCCACTTCTCCATCAAAGTCAACATCGACACCGAAATACACACCGCCTAAGCTCTGCAAGCGCAACACTTTTCCGAATGAAGCAGAGAGTGTTTGAGGACCGGGACATCTGTAGGGATACCAATGTGCTCGTTTACAGAGCTATTGTCCTCCCAACCCTGCTAT